CCTATCAAGTGGTAGCCTAACTGCTGTCTCACCACTGATACCACCAACCTCACCAAGTAGGTCAAGTCTCATAAGACAATATTGCACTATCAGCAAGAGAATATATATATATAAATACATACAAGGAAAACCAGCCTATGACTGCAATAACATAAATATCAGCATAAATATTTCTTGATAAACAACAATGATCAATCAATCACCCTAACAGTCCTAGAACACATATGTATGTCTCTGCAGGTAATCCAGCCTACGGTTGTAACTCTATACTTCAGTATAAGTACTCCTTGGCACAAAAATGTTAATCAATCACCCACCTTTCACTGCGTCTTGCACGCTAATGACAACCCAAACACTCTACCAACTTCCTAAAGGTAGTCAATAAGAACTTCCTTTCCACATCTGGAAGTTCACTACCCTGACATCTTCAGGTTTTCCTAGAATCTTCTACCAGGGTCCTCCACAGCTCTCCCGGCTGCTACACCATAGAGTCTTCCTTGAGCAACAATGATGCTTCACCACTGGTATCACAGAAGCATGTGAAACTTCATTCCACTGCTCCTCTTCTCACAGCTTGAGGTCCTTCTCCTCACTTCCACAGAGCTCAGTACCTTCCACAACCTTGGAGTCTCATCAACTACCCGCCAAACACACACTGAAACTACGACGTTGGTACAACGTTCGAACAAGTTTTAACACCACCTAACCAGTTATAACAACCAATATAACAAGTTGTAACAACGTTCTAACACGTCATAAACACGTTAAGCCAAGGTGTAACAACTTTATTACAAGTTGTAACAAGCGGAAAATAGAGACAGTTACGGTTTGTGTTTCCAGGGATACTCCCTGTCTGCTGGCTTCCAAGTTCTCAGCAACTTCTTCCCCAGACAAACCACAAAAGGTCTCCTGCAGGGCGCTCTCTGACGGGGCGGCAACACTCAGGACGCCTCAGGCTACCCATAGAACTGCTTTAACTGCTTTTTCAGCGTCCTGCCCGAAACGCTTTGCGTAATAGTGGCTTTAGGCATTGTATGTACTAGCTCTATCTATAAATCCATCAATATTTGTATCACATCTTGTATGTATGTACTTTACCTGAATAAACATTTGAATTTGAATTTGAATTTTTGAATTTTAACTGCCCCCTCAACACCTTCTGCAGTTCACGACTCGAGCTGGCACGTCCACAAACGTATTCCACAGTCGAGATGTCTGTCCACTCCCTTCCTCTTGCAGGTATATCAAACAGGGGTTCCTCTTGACCAGGGGCTCAAACGGAGAACACCCCCCCCCCCTCTCGAGTTCTTCAGCTCAAGTGCTCAAGCTCCTCTGAAAACGAGCCTCACGCCTCCAGCAAACTCTCCACATATTATAACTAATCATTTACCTATATCCTGATTCACTGCCCATATTCTTAAACTGTCTGTCAAATTTACCCAACTGTTTTACGTATGTATCTCCATGTCTATATTTCTGTGACCTCTTATTTAGGTCAGGTCTTGCAGAATAACTCTCGAGGTAGACTCGTTTCTCAGCTACCTGGGATCATAACAGGAGTTACGGTAGTGTATGTGTGAAATTTGCTGTCATTTGGCATTATCGGAACAAACAAATACGTTAACAGGTTTCAGCAAAAGATTACAATTTATTGGCAGGAAGCGGTTAAATGTAACTCAGCTAGTATGGGCCAAGACGTCCACTAAGGTGTTCCCTGATTCTTATGTAACTATGTTAAGTAACAGCTGTGTAGAGTCACAATAACGTTGCTGAAATATGTTGACCAACCTACACACTAGAAAGTGAAGGGACGACGAGCATTTCGGTCCGTCCTGGATAATTCTTAAGTCGATTGTGGACCATTCTCAGGTCGACAATCGACTTGAGAATGGTCTAGGATGGACTGGAATGTCGTCGTCCCTTCACTTTCTAGTGTGTGGTTTAGTCAATATATGAATTCTTATTTCTTTTTACCCAAAACAACTGAACCCCCCAGAATAACTGAAACAACAGCCTTCACCGATGACTACATTTGGACTAACTTAACCTGTGCTCTGCACAAACCTTTGGAAATATCACTGAGAGTTCAACTTAGCACGTCCCTACATTACTTCTAACCAGCATTAACAAATGACCAATAGAAACAAGGCAAATTTGCTTTAAACTGCATAGTAAAGCTTCACAAGCAACTTTGCTTCCTTCGTTGGTAAAGTAAATTGGGACATTAAACTAAACATTAAACTAAACTTATGCAAAGCCTCAACCTAGGAGAAAAATTTCTGCACAATTTCTGCGGCCGAGCGGACAGCACGCTGGACTTGTGATCCTGTGGTCCTGGGTTCGATCCCGGGCGCCGGCGAGAAACAATGGGCAGAGTTTCAGAGTTTGGAAATATCACTGAGAGTTCAACTTAGCACGTCCCTACATTACTTCTAACCAGCATTAACAAATGACCAATAGAAACAAGGCAAATTTGCTTTAAACTGCATAGTAAAGCTTCACAAGCAACTTTGCTTCCTTCGTTGGTAAAGTAAATTGGGACATTAAACTAAACATTAAACTAAACTTATGCAAAGCCTCAACCTAGGAGAAAAATTTCTGCACAATTTCTGCGGCCGAGCGGACAGCACGCTGGACTTGTGATCCTGTGGTCCTGGGTTCGATCCCGGGCGCCGGCGAGAAACAATGGGCAGAGTTTCTTTCACCCTATGCCCCTGTTACCTAGCAGTAAAATAGGTACCTGGGTGTTAGTCAGCTGTCACGGGCTGCTTCCTGGGGGTGGAGGCCTGGTCGAGGACCGGGCCGCGGGGACACTAAAGCCCCGAAATCATCTCAAGATAACCTCAAGAAGATACTCGGTGTCTCATGCTAACTACACCGGCCACAACCAAGACAACCAACAACCCTTGCTTCACTGGAGGGTTATCTTGAGGTTATCTTGAGATGATTTCGGGGCTTTTTAGTGTCTCCGCGGCCCGGTCTTCGACCAGGCCTCCACCCCCAGGAAGCAGCCCGTGACAGCTGACTAACACCCAGGTACCTATTTTACTGCTAGGTAACAGGGGCATAGGGTGAAAGAAACTTTGCTCAATGTTTCTCGCCGGCGCCTGGGATCGAACCCAGGACCACAGGATCACAAGTCCAGCGTGCTGTCCGCTCGGCCGACCGGCTCCCTGGGTTACTCAAATCAATCAATAACAAACATGAATACAAGAAGAAGTACAGTCAAGGGGACATTTACAGAGGTTTGCCTAAGACAGTGCTGCTTTACGGTCATTACCCCGTTAATATATAGGGTGTTGACCAGATTGTGTGAATCGACTTGAGAATGGTCCAGGACGGACCGAAACGTCGTCGTCCCTTCAACTTCTAGTGTGTGGTCTGGTCAACATACTTCAGCCACGTTATTGTGACTCATCGCCTGCATACATATAGGGTCCTTATTAATGGTCCCCAACACTCAGTAAAAGGCCCTCCTTGGTATCTAGTATTATAATCTGTACACTGCCACAACTTATCTTTTCAACATATGGCCTCCCAGGGGGCTATGGCCCCCAGTTTAGGAGCCAGTGGTCTAAGAAATACTCCTCAATGCTTTTTAAGTTAGTAAAAAAAAAACAAGACAAGCTACTATTATTAATAAGACAAGTGAAAATAAATTTAATCAAATAAAGGTTTGATTAAGGAGATCGCTCCTTAATCAACAATTTCAGAGCAATAAAAAAATTCCCCATCATTTCAATTTTTTTTAAAAAACACTGTACAAACAATTTTACTCCTGGTCAGTATAACTTCAGACCCAGTAACAGCACACCGATGCTTTAATTAATGACCAAAACACGCATCAGAAAATGTGGAAACGGCGACATTTCGGTCCATCCTGAACCATTATTAAGTGATGGTATAGAAAGAGAAGGGAAGAAACAATTAAATTTGCTGAACTGGATCCTAGCAGCTCATGAACCAAAATATAAGCACCTCATAAGTTTGATTGTTGATATACATAAGCCTTTTGTCACTCTTAACGACAACAATTTTTTTTTTTTTTTTTTTTTTTTGAGATATATACAAGAGTTGTTACATTCTTGTACAGCCACTAGTACGCGTAGCGTTTCGGGCAAGTCCTTAATCCTATGGTCCCTGGAATACGATCCCCTGCCGCGAAGAATCGTTTTTTCATCCAAGTACACATTTTACTGTTGCGTTAAACAGAGGCTACAGTTAAGGAATTGCGCCCAGTAAATCCTCCCCGGCCAGGATACGAACCCATGACATAGCGCTCGCGGAACGCCAGGCGAAATTACTTCTCAAACATCTCAAACTTCAACACTATGGAGTCAGTGGTCAGGCCATCATTACTTGCAGTCTTACCTCAGTGACAGGCTCCAGAAGGTTTCTGTGAATGATGCTAACTCTCCCACTCTCACACGCCCAGCCACTTGGGCTGGACAGTAGAGCGACGGTCTCGCTTAATGCAGGTCGCCGTTCAATCCTCCGACCGTCCAAGTGGTTGGGTACCATTCCTTCCCTCCGTCCCATCCCAAATTCTTATCCTGACCCCTATACAGTGCTATATAGTCGTAATGGCTTGGAGCTTTCTCCTGATAGTTCCCCCTCCCCTTCCCACTGAGACCATTAACACTGGCGTTCCGCTGGGTAGTATTCCTTGGTCCAGTCTTCTCTCTCATTTACATCAACGATCTTCCTTTTGCTATTCAATACTTAAAGCTAATTCTTTTTCCTGATGACAAAACTTGTATTTTCTCTCATGTTAACCCACTTATTCTAAATGATGCAGTAAATTCTGAATAAAATTAAAAATCCACAAGTGGCTGAATGCTAACACACAAATCCTTAACATTTTACGCATTGTTTGGTAACAAGTCCAGCAATCAAATTAACCTAGGAATTAACAGGTCCCAAATAATATGCAGAGATGTTAAATTTCTTGGGGTTACAAGGAAAACTGGCGGAACTTCCAATATTAAGACAATAACACAATGTCAAACAACAGAGACACTGTGCACGCTCAGGCCCTCCACACCTCGCCCCTGCTCTGGTAACTCCACTAATCTCTCACCTTCCCATATCTCACCTAAGGTAGCTCTGCCTGGGGAATGTACAACCCAGAACTACCAATTTTGGTAATAAATCAGCAATTAGAACATAACAACCTCCAGCAGCAATTAACATTCATCTTCTTTACTGAAATCCTTGACTATGTTAAGTATCAAGAGTCAGCAAGTCCTCTCAAGTGTGCTCTATACTTATAAAACTCTGCACTGAAATGCTAATCTTGACCTGAAGCGCTTCCTAGAGGGCGGAGCCGGTCGGCCGAGCGGACAGCACGCTGGACTTGTGATCCTGTGGTCCTAAGTTCGATCCCAGGCGCCGGCGAGAAACAATATGGCAGAGTTTCTTTCACCCTATGCCCCTGTTACCTAGCAGTAAACAGGTACCTCGGTGTTAGTCAGCTGTCACGGGCTGCTTCCTGGGGGTGGAGGCCTGGTCGAGGACCGGGCCGCGGGGACACTAAAGCCCCGAAATCATCTCAAGATAACTCAAGATAACCTCAAGACTCTGCAAATAAATGGTTCCAAAGACTAGAATAATCTCCCGAATGAGATTAAAAATTATACTTCTTTCATGCAGTTTAAAAGTTAAACAAAGAACTATTGCATTAACTCAACATAATAAATTTTCCTAACCGTATCCTACATATCAGTTTGTGTTTTTCTGTAATTACTGTTAATATCCAGCCACAATCATCACAGTCGTCTCAGCAGTCAGCCACAATCATCACAGGCGTCTCAGCAGCCAGCCACAATCATCCCTGGCATCTCCGTAGCCAGCCACAATCATCCCTGGCATCTCCGTAGCCAGCCACAATCATCCCTGGCATCTCCGAAGCCAGCCACAATCATCACAGGCATCTCAGGAGCCAGCCACAATCATCACAGGCGTCTCAGCAGCCAGCCACAATCATCACAGGCATCTCAGCAGCCAGCCACAATAATCCCTGGCATCTCCGTAGCCAGCCACAATCATCCCTGGCATCTCCGTAGCCAGCCACAATCATCCCTGGCATCTCCGAAGCCAGCCACAATCAACACAGGCGTCTCAGCAGCCAGCCACAATCAACACAGGCGTCTCAGCAGCCAGCCACAATCAACACAGGCGTCTCAGGAACCAGCCACAATCATCACAGGCGTCTCAGCAGCCAGCCACAATCATCACAGGCGTCTCAGGAGCCAGCCACAATCATCACAGGCGTCTCAGGAGCCAGTCACAATCAACACAGGCGTCTCAGCAGCCAGCCACAATCATCACAGTCGTCTCAGGAGCCAGCCACAATCATCACAGGCGTCTCAGCAGCCAGCCACAATCAACACAGGCGTCTCAGGAACCAGCCACAATCATCACAGGCGTCTCAGGAACCAGCCACAATCAACACAGGCGTCTCAGGAGCCAGCCACAATCAACACAGGCGTCTCAGGAACCAGCCACAATCATCACAGGCGTCTCAGGAGCCAGCCACAATCAACACAGGCGTCTCAGGAACCAGCCACAATCATCACAGGCGTCTCAGGAGCCAGCCACAGTCAACACAGGCGTCTCAGGAGCCAGCCACAATCAACACAGGCGTCTCAGGAACCAGCCACAATCATCACAGGCGTCTCAGGAGCCAGCCACAATCATCACAGGCGTCTCAGGAACCAGCCACAATCAACACAGGCGTCTCAGGAACCAGCCACAATCAACACAGGCGTCTCAGCAGCCAGCCACAATCATCACAGTCGTCTCAGCAGCCAGCCACAATCAACACAGGCGTCTCAGGAGCCAGCCACAATCATCACAGGCGTCTCAGCAGCCAGCCACAATCAACACAGGCGTCTCAGGAGCCAGCCACAATCAACACAGGCGTCTCAGGAGCCAGCCACAATCATCACAGGCGTCTCAGCAGCCAGCCACAATCAACACAGGCGTCTCAGGAGCCAGCCACAATCAACACAGGCGTCTCAGCAGCCAGCCACAATCATCACAGGCGTCTCAGGAGCCAGCCACAATCAACACAGGCATCTCAGGAGCCAGCCACAATCAACACAGGCATCTAAGCGGCCAGCCACAATCAACACAGGCGTCTCAGGAGCCAGCCACAATCAACACAGGCATCTCAGGAGCCAGCCACAATCAACACAGGGGTCTCAGCAGCCAGCCACAATCAACACAGGCGTCTCAGGAGCCAGCCACAATCAACACAGGCATCTCAGGAGCCAGCCACAATCAACACAGGGGTCTCAGCAGCCAGCCACAATCATCACAGGCGTCTCAGGAGCCAGCCACAATCAACACAGGCGTCTCAGGAACCAGCCACAATCATCACAGGCGTCTCAGGAACCAGCCACAATCATCACAGGCGTCTCAGGAGCCAGCCACAATCAACACAGGCGTCTCAGGAACCAGCCACAATCAACACAGGCGTCTCAGGAGCCGAGAACAAAGAGGTGTGGGATGAGATTGGGCTCACTATGAAATAATGAAAAAGTCTTAAGTTCGGTCATTTAGCCAAAATGGTTTGGATACTTTTGGGTTGAGGAGGACTTTTATGTTTATGATATTGTTTATATGTCAAATTTTGGTGTAGTTAAGTTTGCCTGATTGTAATGACACTGAGTAAATTGCCAGCGAGGGAATTTTCAAGGGAAAGCGCCGAGCTATTACGACTATATAGTACTGGGAAGGGAGATTAGGATAAGGATTTAGGATGGGACGGGGGAAGGGAATGGTGCCCTACCACTTGGACGATCGGGGATTGAACGCCGTCCTGCACGAAGCGAGACCCAAATTAATGAAATTGTTTCATTAAAGTGAGCTGATGTGTAGAGAGTTACCTGGCTAATGAATACAACATGACGTTTCTGTGTGAATATATTTTGACTTCAGTTACAGAACATTTTGTGCTGATTTGGCATCCATTTAAATACGAATAAGTGTAATACATAATCGATATTTATTTAAAACATATGTGCCATTGTCTAGATTGTAATTATGTTTTGAGTCTATGCTGAGCACATCCATTGTTTACATGTATATAATTTGAATCAGACACAAAGAGAAAGCATAAATTTGTAATATGTATTTCCAGTAATTTTTACAATTTTTAAGAGTGAATGTCAAATTATTGTTGTAGTTGTTGACAGTATATTGTTAAAATAATATCAAACGTGGTTGCTAATCCTATTAACAGTTTGTGAGGGTATTGAATTGTAAGTAGATTACTATGCATTAACTAATTATATAATAATAATATAGGATGAAACGTTGCGTGAGAAAAAAAATGGGTAAATGAATGTACAACAGGTCTCTTGGATCAAGATAACATGAACAAATGAACAAGATGTCTTAGGTTAGAATTTCCAATGAAGTCTGGAGTTGCTAAGATTGGTAGAAGATATGGAAGACCTGTTTCATGGGACCTATTTCATGGAATGCGGAGGCGCCATAAATGTTATGATAAAAAATAAACTTTTATACAAAGCGCCAGAGACAGAGGCAAGCTAATAGAGGTTTATTGACAGCAAATAATATATGCAAAAAAGACTGTGAAAAAAATGTGAAAATTATATGAAATATTAAATAAAATATTTTAGAAAACACGAAAATCTTTTTGAAAAGCAGGAAGTGCAACTGGCAGGCAGTGGGAGCATATATGACAATGATATATATATATATATATATATATATATATATATATATATATATATATATATATATATATATATATATATGTGTGTGTGTGTGTGTGTGTGTGTGTGTGTGTGTGTGTGTGTGTGTGTGTGTGTGTATCACGAATTAAATTAATTAATTAAATTAATTAAAGTGATTAAAAATGAGACAGTGTCAGACCACGAATGAAAATTGAAACACGAATTTCCTTAAGTACTTGCGTATATTAATACATCTTCAGAAGGAGACTCCTTCTGAAGATGTATTAATATACGCAAGTACTTAAGGAAATTCCTGTTTCAATTTTCCTCCGTGGTCTGACACTGTCATATATATATATATATATATATATATATATATATATATATATATATATATATATATATATATATATATATATATATATATGTCGTACCTAGTAGCCAGAACTCACTTCTCAGCCTACTATGCAAGGCCCGATTTGCCTAATAAGCCAAGTTTTCATGAAATGTTTTTCGACTACCTAACCTACCTAACCTAACCTAACCTAACTTTTTCTGCTACCTAACCTAACCTAACCTATAAAGATAGGTTAGGTTAGGTTAGGTAGGGTTGGTTAGGTTCGGTCATATATCTACGTTAATTTTAACTACAATAAAAGAAATTGACCTCATACATAATGAAATGGGTAGCTTTATCATTTCATAAGAAAAAAAATTGAGAAAATATATTAATTCAGGAAAACTTGGCTTATTAGGCAAATCGGGCCTTGCATAGTAGGCCGATAAGTGCGTTCTGGCTACTAGGTACGACATATATATATATATATATATATATATATATATATATATATATATATATATATATATATATATATATATATATATATATATATATATATACATATGCAAACAAGCCTGAATGGTCCCAGGACTATATACAACTGAAAACTCACACCCCAGAAGTGACTCGAACCCATACTCCCACAACTGGTATGTACAGGGACGCCTTAATCCGCTTGACCATCACGACCGGACATAAGGAAGTGATAGCCGAGGCTATATGAACCACTTCCCCGCCGGCACTCGGATGGTAATCTTGGGCATAGCATTTTATCAAATCACCTCATTCTTTGGGGCACACGTGAGGAACACAAATGCAAACAAGCCTGAATGGTCCCCAGGACTATATACAACTGAAAACTCACACCCCAGAAGTGACTCGAACCCATACTCCCACAACTGGTATGTACAGGGACGCCTTAATCCGCTTGACCATCACGACCGGACATAAGGAAGTGATAGCCGAGGCTATATGAACCACTTCC